TCAGGGACGCGGCCGAGCTGGCCGGGCACCGTGCGGCCCACTGCGAGGAACGCCCGTTCGCCTGCCCGCGATGCGACCGCCGCTTCAGCTGGAAGGAGAGCCTGCTCATCCACCAGCGCAGCCATGCCCAGGAGCGCTCGCACCGCTGCCCCGACTGCGGCCGCGGCTTCAGCCGCAGTGGGAACCTGCGGGCCCACCAGCGTGTGCACACGGGCGAGCGACCTTTTGCCTGCCCTGAGTGTGACCGTACCTTCTGCAACAAGGCCAACCTGGTGGCCCACCAGAAGCTGCACCGGCGCTGCCGGGCCAGCTTCAGCGCCAAGGGCAAGCTGCTGCTGCCCCAGGAGGAGCACGGCGACGGGGCCGGCCCCCAGGGCACGGGGTGAGTTCCCTGCCCTGCCCTGCCCTGTTCCCTGCAGCGTGCTGTGTGGTGGCACATGACAGTCGGCCCAGCCTTTCCCACCCGCCAGCCCCAGAGCCCCGGCGGGCCGTGTGCCCACTGCTCTGTTCACCGTGCCGTGGGGGGCTGGAGCCTCCCCCTTGACTGCCCTTCCTTGGGAGCCCCCATTTCTTTCTGGCCAGGAGGGGCTGGTCTGGCCACAGGTCCCTGCATGGATCCCCTATGGATCCTTTGTGCCTTCTTGGAGGGAGGGAAACGATTACCCAGTGGTGAGAGCAGCTGTTGAGGACTAGGGGGGAAACTGCGTCCACAGCCCTGAGGCTCCACTGTGGCCTCGGCCAGGCACTTAGCTGCTCCCTGCCTCAGTTTCCCCATATGTAGAAGGGGAGTGCAGCACTTCCCTACTGCGAGGGGAGGAGATGAAGGAGTGCAAGGGGTTCAGAGACCCCCCAACTCCAGGCCCCTGAGACAGGCAGGCGGACCTTCTGCTTGTGCTCAGCCAGCGGTGTTTTCTGTGTGACCGTCGCACCCACGTCCTGCAACAGGCCACAGTCTCTGGTCAGCTCTGCCGTGGCCTGGGGCTTGCAGGGGCTGCCATGGACGGCTCTCCCTGGTTTCCTGCAGAACTGCTCTGTCCTCTGTGCCTCCATCTGTCTCTCCCCGGGGCTGCCCACGTGCTGTCCTGTATCATGTCATCCCCTCCTCCACTCCAGTGACTGCTTGGCCCATTTCCCCCTCCCCTGCCCTGACCCCAGCACCCCCAGCGCATATAACATGTGACCTCTCAGGCCCCACATCAGCTGCGACGCCTGCAGGAACTTGGCCCGTGTGGCACGGTCGGGCGGCGGGTGTATTTATTTCATTGCACGTGGACTGAATAGTGCATCATACCTCTATGAACTCGCCCTCGGTGTGTTGTCCGGCTGCGTAGGCTGTAAGCACTCAGGGCAGGCACTTGTCCGCGTTGCATGTCATGTACAGTGTTGAACCCTGGGGGCAGCCCCTTTGCGGCACTGAGCACTGAGCCTGGGCATCCTCAGGGCCCTGAATAAAGGTGGTGTAGGCGGCAGCTGGCTCTGGTGTCGGGTTCCGATCACGCGATTCGGACTCTGGGGTCCCTTCAGACGACTCGTATGTTCTTGCTTTTGTCACACCTGGGATCTCCACCGTGGCCCAGAAGAGCTATAGCTGCACGAACCTGTTCCCGTACTAGCTCACATACCACACACCTTCCCCCCACAAAATCAGCCTTCCAAAATTGGACTGGGTGTCTTGAGCGGGGAAGCTAATTTTTCTACCCAGAATAACAGCAGCAGCAGGCATTTCTAGAGTCTGCTCACCTCATGTCACATTAGGAACTACTGGATTTCTCCTAATTGTTCATCACTCAGCAGTTGTTAATGACCTCTCCTTTTTAATGGTCTTGCTGTTCTACCTAATCGAGCTGTCCTTGCTGCCGGTTAGTTCCTCCTGGTCTCTCTCCTTCTATGTCACAGCCCTGCAGAAGGTTTTTCATTTCCCACCCCCCCTGCAAATCCTAGCTCTGCCCATCAGCAGGAGCTACACTTTCAGCTTTTGGCTGAGCAGCCAAGAGCAGCTGACAGTTCAGCTGTGAAAAGTTTAAAAGGCAGCTTTTGCCTGCGGAGGAAGGGCATGGCAAGTGAGCTGGAGATGAGGCTTTGTCACACGTCTCTGCGTGCGGCCGGGGCTCTGGGGCAGTCTTCTCCATTCTGCTCTCCCCAAACCAAGGTGTGAGTCTGGGATGGAGCGGGTGGTAGGTGGGAACATAGGGTATTTATCCTGGGTATAGCTGTAAATATCTCTGTGCCTAAGACTTCCTCTCGAATTTCCCCCATGTTCTTTCCCACTGCCCAGGTGTGTCTTCAGGCCAACGTTTTTGGGGTTTTTAACCTATTTGGCCTTGGTGTCTGCTGCACAAGAGTGGCTGTGTCAGCACAGGAGAGCTGCTTCAGCTCGGCCTGGCTCCTGGGGGCAAACCACCTGTCCTCCAGCTGCGTGTAAGGCTTGGAGAACCTGGCGTCTCGGCCGGCTCCAGCAAACCCATTTGGGGATGGATTCCCAACATCCTGCGCCACGCCGCTGCCAGGGCCGTAGCCGTTGCACTGTTGGTGCTCAGCGGTGGTGGAAGACGGTGCCGGCATGCACATACTCAGAGCTGAGATGGAAGGAGGAGAATCACAAGTACTTGGCCCCCAGCCCCAAATCGTGAGCGTTTAGGCCAGGGTAACGAAGCACTGATGGGGTCAGTGCTCTGGGAAGTGCTGTTCTTGCTGGGCTAGTGGGGAGGAACAATGCAAAGCTACTGTCTGGCGTCCAAGCCACCCGCAAACATCTCGGAGTGCAAGCGCTTGCCTTTGGGGGTCAGGAGTCAGGCCTCAGTGCTGGGGGATGGGGGTGATAATTTCCCTCCATGCCTTGCAGGACAGGGCAGCCCGAGGCCTCTGGCTGCAGCAGCGAGCAGAGCTGGAGTCCTGAGAACAAGTGCAAACACAAGGACCCCGGCCACACGCACTGGAGCCAGGGAGCCCCAGCCGGTCTTTGTGCCTCTGTTTCCTGCAATCGTCCCTGATGGCCTGGCCTTTGGGCAGTCCCATCGCAGCTGGCGTTGGGGCAGGCCGTCTTGTGCCCAGAAGAGGGGGAGGCAGCCACGGGGGGGGCTGACAGGCAGGGACCAGAGCCCTGCGTCCACCACGGTGCAGTCCCAGACTCGGAGGGGCACGTGCGGATCTGAATGGCAGCCACGCAGCATCACCCAGCCCTGAACCCGGCAGCTTGGGGCTGGGCTGGCAGAGCCTGGCTGATCCGTGTCTAACCCCACACCAGGGACTGTTCCCACGAGCTGGTGTCTTTGCACTTGGGTTTGTCCCATTAGTGCCCAGGCAGTGGAAGGCCCCAGGCCTCAGACTGGCGGGGCTGGGGTCCGAGCCCGCGGTGCTGTGTCTGTGCAGGGTTCGCCCAGCCCGGGGCTGCTAGTCTGCTGCTGGGTGCAGAACAGCTGTGGGCCTGACACCCGGAGCTTCTCAACTGGCAGCTGTTCCCGGAGGGGCGCAGGGCAGGCCGAGGGCACTGCTGCTCCTGCCCGGGCCCCCAGAGAGGCTACCAACGGGTCTCCTGCTGTCTGCGGGGCAGGAAGGGAGCAGTAACGGCCCTGGGCTCCACGCTGTAGGAAAACAGTCTCCTTGCAGCTGGCCGGGCACCGGGCCAAGGGGCTGAATGGGGATGGGGGGCTGCGGGTGCAGCAGGGCCCACGCTGGGGCAGCAGCACTGCGGGGGCTGGACTGGGGACCCTGGGGTCCTTCCCAGCCCTGCGATGCTGCAGCCTGCAGCCCTGCCACCCCCTAGCAGGGGGAGAGGTCGAATCCAGGCCTGGCAGCAATCCTGGCCCCAGGAAGCAGCCGGGCTGAGCGATGAACCTGGGTGCAACCCAGGGCTGGGCGAGGTGTCCTGGGCTTGTGCCCAGCACTGCCTCAATGGCCAGGGACCCCAATGCACCTCCCGTGGGGGTAGCCGCTGTGGTGGGGACCCCACCGGGGCCTGGGTGGCACTGGGGCCCTGCCCTGCTCCTTTCCCGGGGAATAGGCCTCCCACGCCTCTCGTGCCAGGGGGGCCGAGCTGGCTCAGGCGTGGACCCTGCGGGCCGTGGCACTGTTGTGGGGGCCAGTTTCCGTCCATTGCCTGCCCCGGCGCAGCCTGTCCTGCCGCCCCGGCAGGTCGGAGCTGTGCGGGGGCTGCCGGGCGGCTGCAGCTCGGCTCCGTGGGCAGGTCAGAGGGGGCTTCTGCCCCCACGCCCCCATGTGGGGGTGTGTATGTGTGTGCAGGTCTGGGTTACCCTGGGGCAGGGGACACGTGTGTGTGTGTGTGTGTGTGTATGTGCGCGCGCAGGTTCCCCCGGGGCAAGGGACATGTGTGAGAGCCCAGGATCCCCGTGGCAGGGGACACGTGTGTGTGGGTTCGGATTCTCCCGGGGCAGGGGACACGTGTGTGTGTGTGTGTGCGCGCGCGCGCGGGTTCCCCCGGGGCAAGGGATGTGTGTGTGAGAGGTCCAGGATCCCCGTGGCAGGGCACATGTGTGTGCGGGTCCAGGATCCCCGGGGCAAGGGACACGTGTGTGTGGGTCCGGATTCCCCCCCCGGGT